TTTTTTCCTTTAAATAAACTTGGGCTTAAACCTTTTTCATTTAGTCAGGTAAAAATTAAATATTGTATGTTATGTAATCCAGGGAATGTTCATGCTTTGCTCTGTCTGCTTAGCTCCTTTTTAAATTTCAGCTTCCCCTATTGAGCTCTGTAAACAGGCTCTTTACAACAAACTCAATTGCATAAATCAGAGGAGTGGCTCATCCCTTATTTATAGTTTCAGCCAAAGGGCAGGCAGCTTCTGCTGTGCTCATAAGCTGGGCATGAATGGTTGGACATTTGACAGTTTGAGCCTGGGTTCACACTTCTGCGGTGTGGAACATCGCATGTGATTCGCACAGGAACCGCACCGCATTACTGTGCAGATCACATGTGAACTCTGCGGTGCAATTTGAGGCATACAGTGTGTGTGTATACATATATGTGTGTGTGTGTGTGTGTATGTATGTGTGTGTAATAGAGCTAAGGGAGCTGTCCCAGGCATTCATCAGGAATGTCTAACTTTGCCTGCCCTTTCCATTCTGCTCTTTCAGTCATAGAAACTTACACTACAGCTTTTGTGAATGAAACGTGAGTTATGATTGGAGAGGAAAGACATTTCAATCATTCGTCTGTCTTCCATTCCATATATATATATATATATATATATATATATATTATCTATCTCTCACACACACACACAACACTTGCACTCAGATATTAAACCACAAAGAAATATAATAAAACAAAATAAAAGCAGCTTGCACATAAATAGGCAGTGTTACAATATAAAATGAAAAAATGCAGCTCTAATTATAAAATATTAAAGTCCATAGAAGTCCCCAAATGAATGGAACCAAGTTCATAAAAAGATTTTGATCCAAAAACCGTCACCACACACCCGAAGCAAATTGGCCTCTTACCAAACATTTTGATCGTACAAACTCGGGTCAGCAAGCGCAGTGTGATATTACCTCAATACAGAAAACAATCCTCAGTATAAATTCTCTCCCAGATGAAATAACTTCTCCACCTTTAGAGATCTCCAAGTAGAAGAAACCTTTATCCGACAGTCAGGAAATGAGTAAAAAGAAAAGGCAACTCGTAGTGTAGTAGTTAAATTAAACTTTGACAAATTTATTTAAGTTCCACGTACATCAGTGTAAGATAACCAGCATTGAAAGACAGAAAGTTTCAAACTAACAAGATGACCGCCGTCCCTCCAGAGCGTGGTGACGTCACACGCCGAGGCTCCATCTAACGCGTTTTGTCATCAGACGTCATCAGGGGCATCCCACTTTTGCGGAGCTATCGGACTTTCCAGCCACATCACCTGTTCAATCAAACATCAGTAGTTAAATGCCAACAGGATGACCAATACCAACCAGACCACCAGCACAAAGGGGGACCCAATTAAAGGAGCCCCTCTGGACATCTCTGCTCCCCTAACCTGAGAAAAGGCCAGTACTCTAATAGGAGGGTCTTGCCAGAATGGCAACTGATTTGCTCAGTCAGCTCCTTTAGCCTGTGATGCATTTGGGTATGACATCCAGGTGAGCCAGAGAACTTTTTCCAGGTGACTGGTGTTCGTATGCTGGGTTGGAAATATATCTAAAAACATCCTTTTAGTTTTGGAAGAATTGCTTCAGCTCCTACAATCTGTGATCCTGTTTGCATGTTTTTACATGTGCATTGTCTACATGCATGTGTTTCTTTTGTTTACTGCACACCATTCCTTGCTCCAAAACAAGATTTGTGCCTTGCCATAGACTGCAGATGGTGTCCTAATGCAATGCTTTCTGTGACATCTTCATTGATATGCATGCTCTTGAACCTTCTGCCATTTGGCCCAATTCTGGGAGGTTACTTTTAATTGAAAATTTCTCTTCATGATGTAGCATCTAAACACACGCTTACCCCTCTTTGTTTCAATGGTAGCTGAATTTAAATTGGATTGATGCATTTTCTTTCAGAGGAATGGAAAAGGGAAATGCAAACAGGTTTTTGGAATTCAAAGGGCCTGAATTGGTGTTTGCATAACACAATTTGTATTTAAAAGGAGTTCATGTAGTGTTCTGGCTTTGACATGCAAATGGTGTTGAAAATTCAATTTGAGTAACTTTGATGAGATTGCTGTGCTTGGCGTAATTTCTTCATGTTGCCTGTACATTTTCAGAGCAGTTATGTTCGATTCTAGGCTTTTATATATGCTCATACATGTAGAAGTGGTTTATGTTAAGAGAAAACAGTCTGATTTAATTTCTTTTGAACACTGAATCCGGTTTTACTGGAAATGCATATCTCATAGATGGCTTGTGTGTTCTGCTTGCACCACTGTTAAATGGTGCTGACCTTAGGTGATATGACTATATGGTATGGTGTCTTACTCGTCCTCCAAAACACAACAGCCCTAAAATAGAAGATATCTGCCTGTTTTACTTCAATCCGAGATTAGTTTAGATTAGAAAAATGGAGACCTTTTTTCCATTACATGTGCACTAAGAATAGTTTTTAAAAAGAAAAATCCCAGCAGCAGATAAAACCTAATATTTACCTAAAAGAAGATCTTGCTGATCTGTTTTGGTATAATAACTTTTTAGTTTCCATATTGCTGAGCTAATGCATTTTTTTGTTTTGAAAGAAAGCTTTTAGATATTTGTCAATTGCTTTAAAATGGCAATCCTTTATTTATTTATTTATTTATTTTTTTTTTAAACTTGGGCCACAGATTAATTTATACATTATCAGCTAAAAGTTAAATCTCATATGTGGCTCCAGTATAGTTGTACAGTTACTTTTTCCTTTGGAAAAAGTGGCCTGTTTAAAGCGGGGAGTAGTTACTGCTTTTCTCATACCTAAGAATATAACAGTGATGTATGTTTCATTCATAAAATGCAGAGCTCAGTGTGGAACCTCTGGGGTCAAGTGTTATGCAGCAAACACTGCCAGACAAGGGACAAGCCCTGTCACATGACCTGTCAGTCATGTAATGGGTTTCCTCCCATTGCTAAGCAAGAAGCACATTTGCTCTGCTTTATAAAGGTGCTAGAGTACATTTTTTTTTCTTCTACAAGCAAAGGACAGTGGTTCACTAATGCTGTGGTTCCTGCGGTGGGTCCTTAATTTTAAATAGAAATTAATGATTACGGAAATGCTGACATGAAAAACCTCTAGTGCCTTTTTTAAATGGCAAACCTTGCAGCTTAATAAGCAATACTTTAAAATGTTCTGTTAGAGTAAAGCTGGCCATACACTGGTTAATTTTCAAACAAATATTCATATGAAAAATCTCATCAGTATATTTGATAATTCCAACAGAAACTCGACAAATGTTGTTGGAAAGTAGTTCAAAATTTTGTTTGCTTTTAACGTTTGATTTTTGGAAGAATTTCCCAAACAAAAACCACTTGCACTGTTAGAATTCATTAGTTCCAATAAAAGGTTTTATGTTGCTCCTTCAAATTTTCACATCATCCTGTCGAAAACCAACATCAATTTAAGTCCACTAATGACTAGAAAATCAAATGAATATCCCAAAAAAGTTTAAATTTTCTAAGGGCAGAGGTTATCTCCTGTGAAAATTGCTTGTTGGAAAAGTCATTAAATACAGCACTACAGGCTGCTGAATATGCCAATCATGATGCTTTTTGTAAAATGTGAGATTTGCTGCTCTCCAGTTTCCATATCCAGAGCTTTGCTGTTGGTCTGTAAGCCTGGAATGTTAAAGAACAAATACGTAGACATGGTAGACAAGTAGGTCCCCTAACTGAACCTTAGGAATTGCATATAATTTCCCCTTTCAATATCTTTTGGATGTATTTCTGTTTTTGACGTGCATACTTTGCTGCTGGCAGCCTCTGCTTATGTATATTCCTTTTTGTTTTTTTTCATCATTTTGGCCAGTTTGAATCGCTCAAGTTTGTGATTGGTTTATTTAAAACTGTTTGGTCCACCTTCTAACTAAAATTTTATTTATAGGTAAATAATATTGGGATGTTTATACTTTTTCCCATCATAATGTGAATGGGACTTTCCTACAAGATCTGTAGAATGAAAGGCATGCATGGGATTGTGTTTTAAAGCAGTACTTGAAATGGACTAATCTAAGTTCTACAATATGCGACTGAATGTTGATTTGAATCTGAATGTTATTTTGTATCTCCATATACTATACTATATACATATGTGCCATGTTATGTGTTATATAATTGAGGTACCAATTGCTTACTAATTATATTTAGTGGGTGTGTGCTGGGGTTTTTTTGTTTTTTTTTTTTTTTTTTAGGGTTTTTCCCTCTGTTTTCACCTGGTGATCTGGCAAGTAACACATGTCTTGGAGTGCCTCCACCCTGGCTGAAAGAGCACAGGGGGCACCTTTTGGACAGCAACATTGTTAATCTGGGGGAGGGGAGTATTAAATGCACTAGCAGATTAAAGCAAGGCCATAGATGAGGCAAAAAACAAAAATGGCACATACAATTATGTCATCAATTTTTTTTTTTTTTTTTTCTCTCTAAAAAAAAAAAAAATGGCTTTCTTTTAGATTCGATTTACAAACTGAAGCTGAACACCAGCTAACCTTTTAGAATCAACTACAACAACACAGTCTTTTTTTTTTTTTTTTTTTTTTTTTTTCTTTTTCCCCTTTTAGGCTAAAGGTTTTACATAAAAGCTGACCATTGTAAGCACCCATGCCGGTGTTAAATGGTTTGTCTCAACTCTGGTGTAGAATTTGTAGAACAGCTGTTCTGTTAAAAAAAAAAAAAAACAACTAACATACTGGCCAAATCACCAGGTGAAAGTAAAGGGAAGAGCTCCTAAAAAAGAAATCAAATGCAGCCATTGCATCTAAGAATTGGTAATCTGCAATATAGTGTTTGCTTTTGGGAATAATACTGCTTTAATTTGTTAGCATATTTTATTGAAACTAAGGATTTAATATATAGGAAATACAGGTAGAAATGACAATTTTGTAAGGCTGTGATTGTTCTTGTAGCTTACTTGTTTCAATTATTTGTGATCTTTGTCTTTCAGAACGAAGACAGTCCCAGTCCAAAAAGACAGCGATTATCAAATTCCGTTTTTGATTACACTGCACCATCTCCTGCACCATCGCCGCCAATGCGACCATGGGAGATGACGTCAAATAGGCGGCCTCCTTCGGCTCGTCCCAATCAGCACCACTTCTCAGGGGAAAGATGCAACACTCCTGCTCGAAACAGAAGGAGGTGAATAAATGTTTCTGCATTTTCTTCACCTGTATGATGCTTTGTTTTTTAAGTGGAGTTCTTAAAGGATAAGTTCACCTTTTAACAAAAAATAATAAATGCACATTTTTTTGCAAGTAAAAAAAGTGCATGAACTATTTTTTGTTTTCGGAGCCTGGAAAGCATTGCATCAGCATAGAGCTGGTGCCATGCAGGACTCCTGTACACTGACTGTAGTCAGTGTATCTGTGTGCTTGTAGGAGCAGGCAGATAGTGACAGGAAGAATCTATGAACTACCAGAGTGCTCAACAGCCCCGTGGTAGTTCATTGGGAACTACAAGCTGACAGCCGCAAAGCGGAGCTTTGCACAGCTTCCCGTTTTTTAAAAAATTGTGACAGCTAGCATGGGGCATCGGGGAGAAGTGGGGTCTAGTCCCTGAATATGGGTGTAACATGTTACAAAAGGTGAACTTATTCTTTAATGCTGTGGGCAATGACTATGAAGTCCTGATCTTTAATCTCAAGGGGGCGTCAGCTGGTTGAAATGAACCAATAGTTGCTTGTGTTGTTTTTTTTTTTTTTTTTTTATGTTATGGAAGTTATAATGGGAAAGTACAGGTTTCAAGGTGAGCAGAGATGGAAATTATGGTTACCTGATAATGTCTTCAATGATCCTAAACTAAAGCAAATCTCCAGGCACACTGCATTATGCAAAATTAAAATAAATATGCAAGAGGTCTTATTTTCCAGCAGATTTCTAATTCTGCTCAACCAGTTTTGTGATCCCAATTGGGACCTGCCTTCTCTCTGACCTTCGTGCCTACTATATTGTAGCTGATCAGTCCAGTCTTGCCCCCCTGACCACATGCTCTCTTTTCTTGTCCGGGAGCTGTTGGACAGTGCTGTGCAATGCAATTGAACTTTATTGGCTCTGAGTGGTGCTGTGCTAGTGATTAGGGGAGACTAATATCAACACAGATTCAGGTACTGTAAAAGGTCCATAAAAATACATTTAATGTTTTTAATGAACCAATAACTGACACGGTGACCTGACATCCACCTTAGGTGGAATACTGCACACCTTTGACTCTAGGCAAGTGTTAAAAAATAGAAATGGGGGGCTAAGGTCCAACACTGCAATTTTAATAACCAGCTGGCCGAAAACTGGAATATGCATGAGGGGAAAATAATAATAATAAAAAAATACTCTGTGCCTATTTGTTGGAAAGCTCAGCTGTACAATGGCAATGGGTTATGAAATGTATAATAAAATATTTGTTTACCACTACTGCTGGTACTGCTGATATTGGCTGAATATATCTAATGCATTGATTTCCCCCTGCACCCTCGTAGTTCATTCACAAGCATTGCAGCTCCACTGATGATCCACTGATCATGGGTGCAATGCTTTGCAGACTCCCGGGGAAGAAAATAAATGCACCCTTTTCTTCTGCAAAATATGTGCATTTTTTTTTTCCAAAAGGTGAACTTGGCCTTTTAAACTGCATTAAAAGAAAAGCAAGTTAAAAGAATACAAGGCTTTTTGTGATTGGCTGATGCGGGAGAAAGGGAAAAGCAAGCAATGCTTTTGTTCACTGTACACAAGCCAGAACTGTCAGTCTGAGCTGTGCAAGCTCACAACTTAGTTTCCAGTATAATAAACAGTGGTTTTACAAAAATGTAATATATTTCAGCTTACCAGTGGTCCAAGGTTATGGTGGTTACATTAGTTTTTCTTTTTCACCTGGTGATTCTACCAGTTACACACTTCCTGTTCGTGGGTGACACCACTCACTTACTGTACTATACCTATGGAGGATCAGTTTGCAGTTCTTTTTTTTGCACCTGTACTTTTTATAATCTTTCAATCTCTTCCATAAGATAGGTAGGAAGTATTTTGTAGTTCACAGAGGTAAATGGGTAGGGCAGATAACACTGCTTGAGAAAACTGCAGATTGCACAGTTCTTAAAATGGAATTTCAAAATAAGTGCTTTTATGTTCCTAGTTGGTTTTAAAAGTATTGCCATTTCCCTTCACTTTTCTTCCAGAGATGCAACAAGAAGAGATTGTCATTATTCTGATGACAACTGTAGGATTTTCCATCACTTTTTGTCTCTGTAACATTGAACACCAGGACTAGTACAGAGTGAATCTGCTTAGCTGGCGCACACAGTAATAAAATCATGACAGGGGTTTAAAGTGGTTCTAAAGCCTAAACATATGTACTCCTTGCATAAAGGTAAAAATGTTTAAAAAATATTTAGGTAAATATATCACCCCTTGCCTCTCTTATACTTACCCGAGTCCTCACTCCCTCTAGCGCTGTACCTGTTTGCAGCGGTTGTCTCCTCTCGCTTCCTGGCCTCACAGGCAGGAGCTGCTGCTTATAGTAAAAATCCTTTTCTGGGGAAGGGGGGGGGGGGGGTTGAGAGTTGGGGCACCACGCTGTGTGTGTTTTTACGATCACAAGAAGTGAGGCTCAGTCGAGCCCCCAGGTGTGCCACGATAGGCAGCTGCTCCCTTTAGATGTACACTGAGAAGAGTAGTAGTCTGGTGCTTGCCGCCAGGGAACCAGAGAAAAGGAGGTTCGGGACCTCTCTGTGCGATACCATTGCACAGAGCAGGTAAGTGTAAACCTTTTATTTTTAAATGCTTTGTGTTTACATTCACTTTAACTCTTCCCTCCTTTTTCTAAACCTAGAGTCATTTCTGATAGGATCACCAGCTGGCTTTCTGTATGTACAAAAACTGTATTTTAGTAACACAATGTGTTTAGCCTAAAACTAGCTGTACATAGCTAGACTTCTCTCATTTTGCCCATGAGAATCAATAGTATTCTCCATTCACTCTGAAGGGGATGGCGAAATCTGCACTGCCAGCTCTTATGTATAGAAAGTCTAAGTGTTGCGGAATAATCAGCAGGAGGGACCTAAATTATAATCAATAGGATGTGCCCCTCGTGATGATGCCTCCTCTGCTGGTTGAAATCCTCCTCCATCCATGAATCTTTCATTGTAGCAGGGATTAATAGAAGTAACAAGCTGTCACAGGCTTTCAAGAGAGCCCAACTATGCCCACCCTTTTCACCCAGCTCTGCCATTCATACAAGCCATACTACAGCTTCTATAAATTAACCGGGTCTATAGATGGAGGGGGTTTTAGCATTCATCTGCCCATCCTCCGTTCATAGATCCTGTTTTAGTGGGATTATTTTTCTGTTTGTTGGCTCCCCTTAGTCTTTTAGGTAGCTCCAGGACCCTTAGCTGCCTGAATACCCAAACTGTGATAGGATACAGTTCATCTGACTTTTGTCAAGCTGAGTGTTGCCAACAGGCCACCCACAATTCTGGTTGGTGGAAGGGGGGGGGGGGTTTAGATATGCTTTGTTAAGCACAATAACATAATATATCAACTAATCGGAGAATGCTTTGCATTCATTGTATTCATTGATAAGGTGCAAAGTAATCTCTGAATAGCACTTGTTAACAAACTCCTGTGTTCGCAATGCAGCCGTTCAGCTCAGAACTCAGGAGCTACTGGGGGGATCACTGCAGTATTGGTGTGTATTATAGGGATTTCCTGCTTCTAGAAGGATCCTACAGGTATGGAATATGCCTAATTGGTCCAAGCTGGGCTGATATAACTCTGTAAAAATATCTATACCTGGAATTCATCTTTAACCAGGGTCTTTTCTTTCTTTTTTCTTTTTTTTTTTTATAGTCCTCCAGTTAGACGGCAAAGAGGAAGAAGGGATAGGCTGTCGCGCCATAATTCTGTTAGCCAAGATGAAAATTATCATCACATTTCCTATGGCCAGCAGCAGACTGTAGAGGAGCCCAGGGCCTTTCACCCTCCGAATGTATCCCCCCGCCTGCTACACCCAGCTGCACATCCACAACAGCAGAATACAGTTATGGTTGACATTCATGAACAGGTATGGTACAGGTTTTTTTTTTTTTTTTTTTTTCCATTTTCTAGTTTTTGTTTCTATTTGAAATACTAACATGCTAAAGAATTCATGTTAAAAGTTTTAGTGTGTTTTATTAAATGTAACTTCTGTTGGTTGATCCCTCTCTTCCAGATTCACCAGGGTACAGTACCGGTTTCTTACACTGTTACAACTGTAGCACCACATGGAATCCCTCTGTGTACTGGTCAACACATCCCTGCTTGTAGTGCACAGCAGGTTCCAGGCTGTTCTGTGGTCTTTAGTGGACAGCATTTACCCGTCTGCAGTGTGCCTCCTCCAGTAAGTTTTGAGAATATTGTCTCAGATCTAATTACAATTTGTACTTTTTTTTAATTAATTTATTTTGTCAAAAAGTTGAAAAATCAACAAGTAGTATAGAAAGTTGGCATATTTGAAGATGTTTAATCTATTAATGTCCTGGAGTGTTTGCGTATTGAAACTTGGCTCCACACCAATGTTTTTTTGTACTTCCCGAAGCTCCAGAAGTGCTGAAAACGTTGCTCACTGTGTGCAGTTGTGGTGACTTTAAATGATAATTGGGCTGCATATTGCTATAATTCTGGTACATAAATGCTGACCATAGAAAGCTTAAATTTCAGCCAATTGCTGCTCAGTCTGCCAAAATTTGAGCTGTGGGTGGCCTTGCAAGCACCACCCAGCTCAGCAGAAATGGCCTGAGCCTGATGGAACACAGTGCTGTTCTACTGTATGTAGATGATGCTACTACAGTGTAATACAGCTAACACATGGGCTAAATCACTTATTAATGAAAATGGTTTGTTTGGGCCAGCTTGGTCCAAACGACCAGTTAAGATCCAGGAAACCTGGACTTCACATTTAAGCATTTGGCTTCTCTGCTTATGGTATTTGTCGGTAGATTTGTCAATATGCTGCTAGACTTTCACTGAAAGCTTGTATATTTGCATACAGTCAGTTGTTTTGTATAAATAGCTCCTTTTGCTTTGTTAATGTAGTGTTGCAAGAATTTTTAGATTGGGGTGAAAAAATGTGTCATAAAACACCCATTGATCCTGCTAGCTTCCTTGCTCGTTTTTCTCTGAGGTCCTTTTTCAGTAGGGTGATAACCAACTTCCCAGTACTGCAGGGCAATGGTCTCCCTTTGCTTTCATCCAAGTCAGTGCCCCCAGGTGGTAATTTAGTAGCTGAACCTGGGAATTTCTGTGAGTTTAACTGGCCCCATTGACCTATTACAGCTAGTAGAAAAATAACAGAATACTCCAGGGGGGAACACTGATGTGTTTATAATATTAGTGATGGTCTGCATCAAAGGTCTTTTTTCTTTTTTTTTTTTAAACTTTTGCTTAGTTACTTTTTACTGATTAGTAACTGCTCTAGTTTATCAATTTTTTTTATTAGCATTACACATTTATGTTACAGATAAACATTATTACAGGTTGTATGACAATTGGGTTGCTTGTAATTTTGGGCTTTCTCCAAAAGAAACAGCTTTACCTTATTGATGGGATATGTGGAGCAGAAAATTCAGAAAAAACTGAGCATGAGCTAGCAGAGTGGAGGAGATGCTGTATGTATCTCTTCTGGCTCATTCAACTGTGTGTGTTCTCAATAGAATCAAATAGCTGAAATTTAGATCCCCCAGGCTGTTTATGGTATAGCAGTAAATCACTGCAGAATCAATGCAGTTGGAGACTTAAAATGACACCAAACTCTGATTTTAAAAGAAATTCCTATTCAAGTATGTTTTCTTAGCTTAAATTGCTCTCTGCTTCCTCCAGCCTGCTCTCGTTTTAACTTTCTGTTATAGAGTGGCTACATTCACTTTCCATGGTCCCATGTAAGTCAGAACATAGCCAGCCATTCTTGCTCCTGATATGAACTGGAGACTGTGGACTTTAGGGTTTGCAGTGTGCATAGAGCTGTGCACATGATAATGACTAACGTGCAGTGCTCATTTCAAACAGAAATTGGGGAGAGGTTTGGGAGCTCACAGAGGACACTACAAGCAGGCAGAAAAATACAGTAAGAAACAAGTTTGAGAAATAGATTTCAGGATCATTAAGTAGTTAATGCGTATTAATTATTTTTGAAGAATAAAGATATAATTTAGTGTCACTTTACACATGCTAGCATGTGAAATATTTATCAAAAAATGTAGCTTCCCTGCAGTCTGTTGAGGGACACCGGAATTCAGGTATCCTGAAACAATTGTGTTATACTGGCACGTACAGGAAGTGTGAACACTGGCAAACGCCCCTGCGTATCTCCACCTCTAACTATCTTGCCTTTTAGCTTTGCTAGTATCCTAGGAGGTTAGACTTTTTTTTTTTTTTTTTTTTTTTTTCTTAGTAGAGCTAAAGCAAAAGCATCCAGCTATATTTTTGAATATCCTTTTTTTTTTATTTATTTTTTATTCTATTTGTAGACAATCTGAAGTAAATACAGTGGAACCTCAACTTACGAGTTTAATTCGTTCCGTGGCCGAGCTCGTAACTCAAAATGCTCGCTCGTTAAATCAATTTTCCCCATAAGAAATAATGGAAACAGCCGTAATCCGTTCCAACCCTCAAAATGGCACCTCATATTTTTCATTTTTCTTGTTATTTCATAAGGAAAAACGCTTTTTTACATAACTAATATTATATAAAAACAAAATAGAAAGAAAATATGAAGATATAATAAGGTTGTATACAATTTACTTACCTTGGAGATGATTTTTGTTTTCGCTTAATTCTCATCACTCTCTTCACTTTCACTAGTTCTTGGCCTTTTTGCCACACTTTGCTCACTTCGAGCTGAAGGCCTTTTCTTAAGAAACATGTCTAAGGAAGTCTGTTTCATTCTCCCTTTGAGAATGTTTCTGAAACGACGTAGGCACGTGTCGTTGAAAAGCTCTGTCGCACGACTCGTTGCAATTTTTTCAGGATGGTTCTTTTCAACAAAACCTGCCACCCTCTCCCACATTGCCAAAATATCCTTGAGGTCTTTTGTACTGATTATCTCTGGCTCTGTCTCCTCTCCCTCCGAAGTAGCTTCAGTTAATGCTTCTGTGTGCCGTTGCTCTTGTAACTCCTTTAACTCGTCAGTCGTAAGTTCCTCGGAGTGCTCCTCAACGAGTTCCTCGATGTCTCTTTCATCCACCTCCAGACCTATAGTCTTGCCAATGGACACGATCTCTTCCTCCACTGGCTCCTCTTCTTCCTCAATCTCAAACCCTTCAAAATCTCTTTCAGCCACATTTTCAGCCACAGCTTCTTCCAAGCAGAGGTCAAGGTCCTTTTCGTAACCCCCTGCCAGGCAATATCGATGATTTTGAGGCCTATTGCTATGTTAAAATGCTCCTTCCAAAACTCTCGAAGGGTGAGGTTTGTGTTCTCCGTCACCTCAAAGCAACGGCGAAACAGGTGCTTGGTGTAGAGTTTCTTGAAATTTGATATTACCTGTTGGTCCATTGGCTGGAGGATAGGGGTGGTGTTTGGAGGAAGGTAGAGAACCTTCACAAAATTATACTCGTCAAGTATTTCTTCCTCGATCTGAGGTGGATGTGCAGGAGCATTGTCGAGGACGAGAAGGGCTCGCAGGGGCAGGTTGTTGTTCTTCAAATATTTCTTCACCGAAGGACCAAACACAAGGTTTACCCAGTCGATAAAGAACTGCCTGGTGACCCACGCCTTAGGGTTTGCCCTCCACATAACATGGAGTTTCTCCTTTATTATCTTGTGTGCTTTAAAGGCTCTGGGGTTCTCCGAATGGTATACGAGTAGCGGCTTTATTTTGCAGTCACCACTCGCATTGGCACACAGGGCGAGGGTCAACCTATCCTTCATAGGTTTGTGTCCTGGCATCCTCTTCGGTTATGTATGTTCTCCTCGGCATCTTCTTCCAGAACAGCCCTGTCTCGTCACAGTTGAAGATTTGCTGGGGGATGTATCCTTCTTCCTCGACAAATTCTGCGAAAGTTTTCACAAACTCCTCTGCTGCCTTTACATCAGCACTTGCTGCCTCACCATGCCTAACAACGGAGTGAATCCCCGTCCTTTTCTTAAAATTATCAAACCAGCCCCGACTGGCTTTAAAGGATTCCTCCTCCGTTGAAGTGCCTGGGGTTTGCTGTTGTAAATCTGAAAAAATACTGCGCGCCTTCTCGCAGATTATTCCCTCGGTGACGGTATCTCCGGCAAGTTGTTTTTCCGTCAGCCACACCAACAGCAGATTCTCCATCTTCTCATGCACATCTGTACGGCGCTTTGAAATAATCTTGACACCTTTGGCTGGCTTAATTTTCTTTAGGGACTCCTTCTGTTTTAAGATGGTGCAGATTGTTGACGTTGTACGGTCGTAGTGCTTGGCCAGTTCCTTTACTCGCATGCCTTGCTCATGCTTCTCGACGATTTCAAGCTTTATTTCGAGGGACATCATCCTCCTCTTCTCGGTACTCGCACTACCACTTGCTTTCTTTGGTGCCATGGTTACAACAAAGTTAGAAGTTGGGATTTCAATCACGTGTAGACAGCGAGAGAGAGAGAGAGGCTCGGAGATGGGATGCTGTGACTCATACCCTCTGAGCTGCGCGCGCCTTGAAAATATACACTTAGAGCTGCGCGCGCCTCGAACTCGTATCTTAAAATTCTGCTCGCGTGCCGAAGCAAAAAATCGTCCGAGCGACTGCTCGTATCTCGGAAAACTCGCACGTTAGTTCGCTCGTAGGTTGAGGTTCCACTGTACATGTATAAAGAATCCATAGGGTACATTTTAATTTGTGAAATAAATTCTGAGCTTTAAAAAAAAGAAATACATACAACCTGATGAAACAAAAATCTCATGTTAGAGTAAATTCTTAATTAAGGTAGAACCATAAGCTTAACCACTTAAGGTCCCTTCTGTAGACGTTTTACTGCTACAGGGAGGGCCTCCTGTGTTAAATCGTATGTATGTATGTGTGTATAATATGTATGTGTGATTTTTCCCTTCCTCCATAGGGGTGTGCGCCCCTGGTGAATCATTAAGCAGCTCCACGAGTGCCAGTGAACAGATGGCTGCTGGCACCCGCTTATTGTCGGGCAGGACACAACAGAACTCTGCCTATGTAAACAAGGTAGAGCCTTGTTCTGACAGGGAGGGAAAGTGAAGGATCGTGTGTCCTTGCAAAGCTGGGAACACAATCCTTTACTTCCCCTAGTAAAAGCACCACCTAGTGTACACCAAGCACATAGCTAGGCACACAGTTAACTCTTTGATCACCCTAGATGTTTGGCCCCTTCCTATCCAGTGTCATTAGTACAGTGTCAGTGCATATTTTTAGCACTCCTTATTATATTACTGTCACTGGTTCCCACAAAGTGTCAGTGTAAAAAATGTCTGCTGCCATATCACAGTCCTGCTACAAGTTGCTGATCGCCGCCATTGCTAGTATTAAAAAAAAAAAAAAAAAATTAAAACATTCCAGTATATGTCTCATAGTTTGTAGGTGCTATAACTTTTGTGCAAACCAATTAACATACGCTTATTGGGACTTTTTTTTTTAACCAAAATTATGTAGCAGAATACATTTTGGCCTAAATTTATGAAGAAAGTTGTTTTTTTTTTTTATTGGATGTTTTATAGCAGAAAATTTTTTTTATTTTTTTTCAAAATTGTCTAGATTTTTATTTTTTTTTGTTTATAATGCAAAAAGTAAAAAACTCAGAGCTGGTCAAATACCACCAAAATTAAGCTCTATTTGTGGGGAAAAAAAAGAATTAGACTTATTTTATTTATTTACAGTGTTGCAATTGTCAGTTAAATTAACACAGCGCCATATCGCAAACAAATGGCCTGGGCAAGAAGGGGGGTAAATCTTCTGGCGTTCAAGTGGTTAAAAAGCTGATGTCTAGGTTATAGCTCATTTCTACCGATTTTAAATAAACTGTTGTATTCCAAACAAAGTAAAGATCTTAAAGTTGAAATTATATGACAAAAGCAAACTCTTCTAATATGCCAAAAGCATGTTTAGTCAAACTAGGAAGAATTTCTGTGACTTGCAACAATGTTGCAATATTTAGTAGGCAAACCTCTGCCAGTGTTTGAATGTAATTACTGTGTTTTAAGAAAGTTATTATTGAGCCATAGATTCTATGTTAAAAAAACAAAATAGATACATAGTATTAACTGTGTTTCATGTTCTTGTATAAAGGAAAGTGACTTAATGGAAGAAGAGTTAACATAAGCATACCTTTTGGTGTTTTTTTTTTTTTTTTTTTTTTTTTTTTTTTTTTATTGTAATGCATTCCCTTCATTAAAATAAATAAAAAATCCCCACTAACTATATCCCATCCCTCTAAACACCTGAGCCTGTCAACGATCCAGCAATGTACCCGGCTTCAGTCTTTTTCCTCTGTCTTCCTCTTCTCACACAGAGGCAGCAGCGGGAGCCATTGGCTCCTGTTGCTGTCAGTCAGATCCTGTGAGCAGAGAGCGGGGAACAGGGCCGAGCCCAGAAGAGCTGACACCAGCGGGGGACCCCAGAAGAGTAAGATCTGGGCCACTTTGTTCAAAACTATTGCACAAAGCAGGTAAGTATGACATGTTTGGTTTAAGAGAGAAAAATGTGCATGTTTAGAATCACTTTAAGGTTGATCAGAATCTTAAATGCATTCAAATTTAGGCTTTTATGTGTGAATCTATATAAATACAACATGAAAACCTACTGTGGTATATAGGCTGAAGAAAAGGAACAAAATGGTATTGGGAGGCTTAAGAAACCTTTTAACTGTATAGACTGAGTGTGTGTGAGACAATTAATAATTTATGTGACGTCTTTTAGGACTTTCCTAGGAATCTAAAATTGTATGTATTTTTTTTTTCTTCACTTCATGTTTGTATTGATTTGATTGTTTTGTGTTTTTTTTTTTTTTTTTTTTTTTACAGATGCTTCAAGCATGTTCAGTTCAACACTTACCAGTTCCCTATGCTGCTTTTCCACCCCTTCTTTCCAGTGATCCATTCTTATTACATCCACCACACCTTTCCCCACATCACCACGCTCATCTCCCCCCTCCTGGACAGTTTGTACCTTTCCAGGCACAACAGTCTCGATCGGTAAGCAACATTCTGCACTTTTACACTTTTAGACCTATTCCCTAATGTAGCCAAACATTTTGTAGTGGATCTTATGCGGCTATATTTTGTCCAGGTTAAATTTGCCAGCAATGGCCGTTATTTGTGCATTTCAACCTAAAGTACTGTACTAATACAGATTCGTTAATGGAGTGGTTAGTGATGCAAACATACATTGCTTTTTAGTGGTTATTGCTGCCTACAGGAGGATTAGACACTAGCAAACAGAAAACTTATGGACAAGCCTGGTATAACCCTTGGACTGGACTTTGCAGGGCCACACTGAAATGTGATCTTCGGGCCCTGGGCTCTGCATTTTCCTTACCAGAGTGTACTGGTTAAGTTAGTTGCAAAGCTGTCTCCAGGTCCAGAGTCCTGACACAGCCCCCAGTGTGACCCTGAAGACTCGCATTTAGAGTGGACCAAGGACTGGGAGCAACATTTTAAGATACCTGCTTTTTCTTTGTTACTACTTTTAGAAGAGGTCAACTGAAAGGATTGAGCATTAACATTTACTAGGAGTGTCACATGCCCACCGCTCTCTTCCCTGCCATTCAGCATTAAGGAGACACTTTCCTGCTTCTTCTCCTGATAGCAACTGACAAGTGGAACACTCCTTGATTCATCCTTTACTGCCTACATTGACTTGATTACCTTTGGCCACCTGACCCTTTTTGTGATACCTAGCAGCCGGGTTCTTGAGGCCTAGTCCCGTATCCTGAGCTATGTTGAATTCTGCCAGGTAGTGCAACATGCCTAGTTCTAGACACAGAGATAGGTCCATGGTACCCACGAGCTCCAACATACACTGCACGTAGGGTTCCAGTCCTGCCTGCAGTGAAACCCCTGAGGTGCCCTACACCAATGGTCTGAAATTTGACATCTGCTAGAGTCTATTCTTTACTTTAGAGTCTTCTCTATTTCCATTGGGCATGGCTGAGTCCTCTATCCCGAGAAAGGATGTTTACTGCAATTATTTAGAATTTCAATAGCCAAATAGCATATTTAATTACCAAAGCTGACTGTAGAGGCCATAAGCATGTTTCCAGTCCAGTCCCTGCATTGTGACCTGTTTTGACTGTGATGTTAGTCTGCAGACCCTAGTTGATTGGGCTAAAGCCATTAGAAGGAAGCTGATCATTAGGGTAGTTGATCCCTTGGTAATCTGAAGTTCACGCCTGCAGCCTTGTACTACAGTGTGGACAGGTTGCTAGACATTTCTTGACTCATGTCCCAGACTGGCATTCTGTCACAATATGAGGAGGTTACTCTGGCTGAAGTGTTGGGCTGGGAAACCTGCATGCAAAAAATGATTATTTTGCATGTCGTTTATCCCTTCAGAGCAGTTCTGGATACACTCATGAAGAATGACATAGGGAGATAAGAGTACCCATTTTCCACAGCAGAGAAATCCTAAGTCTGGCTACCAGTCTGCCCACATTCCCTGGAATTCAAGTCCTCCAAATACTTAGATACATTTTCAGCTTGAGGAGGCAGACTGCAGAAAGCAACACTGGAACTCACTCATCACTTTAAATATCTGAGGCTAATCTTGGACACAGTTCAAGCCAGAGTTTTTCAGCAGAATATTCAAAGTTTGTTTCCAGACTCTTTACTCCAAATGTACCTTGATTCTTCACTTCTGCATTAGAGGTCTGGGCTGATGTTAACCTCTTTTGAGATGGTCCAATTTACTCAGTTCACTTCAGGCCCTTACGCCACAACATTTATCAGTCCAGTCCTTGATCAGATTGGTTTGTCCCTGGTTTGGTAACTCAGGAATCCTTCCTCCTGATCTTTTGGAAAATTTTCACAATGGACCCCAGCCTGTTCATGGATATCTTGTCAGTACAAGGAAATGGGACATCAGCGGAATTGCGTCTCCTCATCAAAAATCTGGAACGTCAGGTGATCTGATTGTCCTTGCAATGCTGGACACTCTGGCTGTAGGGTCATATAATCAGGATTTGATCTGATAATGCCATGGCTGTGGTGTACATCAGCCGTAAGGGAGGAGCCAGAAGTCTCGCCATGGGCAGAACTTCACATTCCAGCCTTGTCTGCCCTTTACATCCCAGGGTTGGACAGTTGGCATACAGGCTTCCTCAGCCGGTATTGCATGGACTCGGAAAAGGTCCTTACACGCAAAAGTGTTCCAGGACCTGTGTCACATGTTGGGGACATAGTTTGTGGACAAGCAGGTTCAACAACAAAACAGACTGGTTTGTCTCTAGATACAGGGATTCTCTAACCAAAGCAGTGGATGCTCTGATGGGTTTTTGGGATCAGTACAGTCTGATCTACTCCCTTTCTCCCCTGAAAGTCCTTGTTTCTTGTCTGCTCTGCAAGATTGTGATTGAGGGTATTTCAGTGAACCTCATTACCCTGGACTGACCCAGACAGATGTGGTACCTTGACCTAATCAGATTCCTTGTGGATGCCCTGTGGACTCTTGCAGATCATCTGGAAGTTCTGACTCAAGGACTGCTTTCCCACCCTGCTTCCCTGTTGCTGGCTTTACAAGCGTTGCTGTTGAACTCTGCATTCTGAGAGACAGAGGCATGTCTAAATCTGTGCTTCCCACAATCCTAAAAAAGCTAAGAAGTCTACCATTGCACATAGCATACTTCTCTTGGTGTGAGGCAAAAAAACTTTCAACTCAGGAAAACCATAAATGAGAGAAATCCTGTTTTTTGTAAATTTGCCTGAATCGGTATTTGGCCCTTAACCATCAAGGTAAGGTCTGTACACTTGCGATTTTGTTCCCAAGACCAATGGCTTCACATTCTTTAATCAAACCTTTGTTTAATGTGTTTCCCATGTGGCTTCTCTGATTCTGAAACCACCTTTGAAACCTATCGGCAATATTCCCGTTCCCCTTCTATCACAAGGTTGAACTTCTTGCAGTCACCTCTGTGAGGAGAGTCTCGGCTAAAGATAAAGAACCCTTTCTGGGCTTTCACAAAAACACTGTGATGTTGAGACCAAGAACTTCCTTTCTTTTTAAGAAGGCCTTTCACCTCAAATGGGACATTGTCCCTCTGTGCAGCTCCCGTTCACCTGAAAATTCCCTCTGATGCTTAGATGTAGTTTGTGCTGTGTGGGTTTACCTCACAGGCACAGACTCCCTCTTTGACACTGCTGATGCTCTGGTAAGAGAGAACCAGCTTTTAATTTCACCATTTTAACTGTTAGTGCTTCTTTGGCTTTTTGGAATCAAGCAGCTCTTGGGCTTTTTGGTATCAAGCAGCTCTTTCCTAAATTTGCAAAGCTGCCACCTGAACATCATCTATTAATACATATTATAAGTTCTACCAGGTGAATGTTCATGCCTCATCTGATGCCAGCTTCTTGCATAAGGTCTTTCAGGTGGTTCTTGGAGCTGCAGGCAGTCCCTAGGTTTATTGTGGGCTTGTTTAGTGTTTTGTTGCTGTTGCCCACGTATCATTTGGGCTGTTTTTGGCTGCCCCAACTGTATCTAAATTCCTGCATCCCTCCAAAAATGAAAAGAAGGGATTTTTGTACTTGGGAGGGACACATGTTCCACCCCTCTGTATTTATAATCATGCTGCTGGTACTACTGCTTTGCCACAAACCTGATTCATGCTGGGAGTAGGAAGGGTTATACTGGGCCAGCCTACAATTTTTATCTTGGTCAGTGTGCAGTCCACTGCTGAGCAGCAGTAAAATCCAGCTATACCTGAATTCCAGTGTCTCCCAATGAAATCTAAGAAATTGATTTTACAGTAGGTACAAGAATCTCTAATTTATTACTGCAACAAATCTGTGTAAAACTGGGTTTCTTTTCTGTTCGAACACTGTAGTTGGTAGTTTTAATTATTTACACCAGTAGAACCAGGAGAACCTAAATAATGGTTTTTGTTTTTTTTGTTTTTTTTCAGCCTCTGCAAAGGATAGAGAATGAAGTTGAGCTGTTGAGTGAGCATCTACCTGTTGGAGGATTTACATATCCTCCACCTGCTCATGCGCCAACATTGCAGCCCTCTGCCCCTTTACAATTCATAACTCATGATCCTTTGCACCAGGAGGTTTCCTTTGGAGTTGTAAGTACTATATTTAACATAATTGTCAATCCTGGCTTGTGCCATAAATATAATTATGTTGGCGCAACAACCAGAGGTGTATATATAGAGCAATGAACTTAAGCTTCAGCAAACATTCACTGCAGGTGAATCCAATTGTAATTTAAACCACATGATCTAGGAAGATGCCCCTGCAGTGAATGTTTGAATAATGTGATGCCTCCATAGGTAAGGCACATAATATACCGATTACATTTTTAAATAGCCCTCGATAAGCTGTGCTGTCTGTCAGTATGATATATTTCAGGAGGTGGGAACAGACCTAATTTTTAAAGATAGCATTTTATGTACTCTGTATTGGCTGTTCTTGCCTTGCAAAGAAAGGAGGTAACATTTATGTGATTTTTTGCAGTTACCCTTTTAACATAAATACTCTGTCTTTGTATTAGAATGTAATTCTATATAAATTGAGTCTGTATCCCCACAATTCTGTCTATATTTATATATTTTGCTTGGTATATTCTTGGCATGGTGAATACACAATATTTTTCATCTGCTTTTTAATGGTTTTTGGGCTTTTAGAATTTAGCAAGTAAATGTTTCTGGTAAAGGATAAAGTGATTGGGGTCTCCCACCCGAGTTTCTGGCTCTTTCACCTTTCTGAGTGACCCTATTCCGAATACATTAAAGCGGAACTTAAGTCTCCATACTTACCTGTCCAACAGTCCTGCACTAGCATCTTCTTCTGGGGTTTGGTCCACTTATTCAGCCAGCAGGAGATCATGTCAGCTTTGATCCCGGTACTCAGACTGGCCCAGCTTAGTTTTTAGTGCCAGAGGAGGCTGCGAGCAGGCAAGTAGGGGCATTTTATTGTAGAAGAGACAGTGCATGTCACTTCTGGGGGACCTCAGTTCCGCTTTTGAGGTGAAAAAAATCTTCTGACTTTACAGCCACTTTAATGTACCTGTCCACACTGAGTGTGGCTTAGTTTTAACGTTAACAGGTCTTTTCAGAGATATATATTTGAAGAAAATTCACTCGTTTCAGTATGTACTCCCTAGCTTAGGCTTTATAGGTCAATGCAAGTTTTCTTTTGTTTCCTACACTGTACAACCCTCTGAAGTTTTTTTCCTTCAACTGAAACTCTAAATTAGCCAGACTTGTTCCTTAATTTACTTGAACTTCCTGACATCAGAGCAGCAGACCTCTCCCAGCCATTCTTAAATCTGTTTTGTAGGTAATTGAGAAGACCGTTAAGGGGAAATGATCACTTACAACACATAAGTGCCCTCTAGTAAACTCAGTAAAGTTAAATTTAATTTTAAGATCACAAAAAAGAAAATGCAGCAAGGGCTTTATTTGCACATGGAGAAAGGTTTGACATCTGCGTACATAAAGTTTTCCCTCATTCACGTTGAGATTTTCAAACCTGTGTGCATTTAGAGGACATTTTATAAATTAATATGCATGTATGTAATGGTTTTTTATATGGTGCCATTCACACTGCATTTAACTGTGTTTAACTGTGGTCAGTTTATCTGTGTTTTAAAGAAAAGGAATTCTCTCTATCCAGGATCTGATTAGATACTCTAAACATGCCAAACATGTAAATGTCATAATCCTAACGCTGAGTCTACAATTGCCAAAATGTTCAACTGCTCTTTCAACCAAACCATCAATATTCAAATTGTACAAATGATTTTCCAAAATCCTTATCCTGCAACTAGCTCACTGTTTGTTCCAGAAATATATGCAGTTGTTGAAGGAAACCTCTCCTAAGGGGAACATGGAGGCTGCCGTTTCTGACTTCTGCGAATGCTAGTTTCTTGGCTGTCATACTTTGAGTCACTGACCCAGAACAGGTATGCACATAAGTAGTTCTGACTTTGTTTCTGACTTTCCTGATAAGCATACTTGTTCTAGATCAAACACCTTATTAAAGTCAGTCAACTAACATTTTTAGAAGGTCAGCAATGTTGGCTTTCATAATATGCTTGGGCATGGCTTACGGTGAACCAGTAACAGAAAATGTGTGCCGCTCTGGCCACAAGGGAAAGCAATCCTGTGTCCACCACTATGAGTGCAGCCAGGGAAGGAGCTTGTCTTGGCTCCAAGCAACTGTTATGGAAAGGATGGATCCCTTGAAGCTGCAAATATATGCAGACCCGCTGGTATTGGAAGGCTTTTCACTCCGCCCCTCAGAGCTGAGTCATGGGGATCGCCTTTTCACTCCACACTCAGAGCTTAGTCATGGGAATCGCCTGTGCCTGTACATACCTGCAGAAGCTTCCTGACATGACTGACTCTAAGGTCATTCTAGCACTTCCTGATGTTACTGAGGCCTCCCCTTCCCGTCCCCTGCATATTCCTATTGGCCACTAGGTCTATAGCGATGTGCCAGTAAAAATGTATGGGGGCAAGGCTTAGGGCCAAGCTATATAGCTACCTGGAATTGTTGGAGCTTTGCCTGATAGAACAGCTTGCCATTTGGCCTTGACAGGAAGGTTTGGGTGGCTGCTGCAAGTATGTGCAAATTCTTAATGTATAGCTTGCGTAGTATTTTTTTAGATCACTATTCAAATGTCACACTTTGAGAACAGGCAGCCGTATAACCCAAAAACTAATATTTTTTGTTTTGTGGTTTGTCTTCACAGCCTTATCCACCATTTATGCCAAGAAGAATTACCGGACGTAGCAGATACCGATCACAACAGCCAATACCACCGCCACCTTACCATCCGAGCCTTTTACCTTATGTCCTGTAAGTCTGCAATAACCTATATAATACTATACCTTTGAAGTAGAATTCCAGTCTTAATTGGTCTTAAAAAATGCTCCCTTCCCCCTCCTAACACCTATGCTGACTATCCTGCATAAAAAAAGATGTGTATACTTATCTGTTTTCAGCCTGCTTTGGTCTGGTCAAGTGATCTCATTTGTCAGCCAGCGGCAGCTGCAAGGGAAAGTAGAGCGTGCTCGACAGTGGCTCTGAATGCCTGAGAGTGGTGACATCACCCATAGCCTTCCATGTGTCAGCCATTGTCTGCACCCTTTCACCCCTGCAGCCACCACTGGCTGACACAGGGAAGCCAGATCACGTGATGGGAGCAGAGAAAGCTGAAAATAGTTAAGCGTATACAACTTTTTTACACAAGTTAGTCAGCATACATGTTAGGGTGTGGGAATATTTTTAAGACTAGTTAGGTTTAGGCTAAAATTCTACTTTAACAATAAAGGTTTTAATTTTGTGTTCCACTTTAGAGTGCTTGACGCTCTTATTTCCCCCCTCATTACTTTAGACCAGGAAGTGAGGGGAAAAATTCTACATTGGAGACACAGATGACATTTCAAGCCCTTACCTACTCTTGTCATAGCAAAAACAAAAATTAGTGCCAAGTTCTACTTTAAAATTTTTAATATTTATTTTTAGCACTTGGATGCCATCACTGTTGTGAAGAATTTACTACATTTACTATATGTGGAATTGAGGTGTTAAGTGACTAGTGGATGTCATGGGACTTATTTGCACATATACAAACTGATATGATTATCTGCATTCTTGAGTTATGGATGCATCTTTCTTTGCTCTTCGATTTCTGTATTTAGTGATTTGTAAAGAAAAACTTTTGAAAGATTAGTCTTAGACCCTGTCACAAACTTTTAAACTTGCAGGTAAAGGCACAGTAAAATAAAGTATTTTAAATGCTTACATGCAGTATTTTATTTCCATAAATTGTGTTGAGTTGTAATGAGCCTTTGAACTTGCTAGCAAATCTGACAAGTTTAGGAAGAGTCAATTCCCTAGCACAGTTCCCTCCCTTCTAGCAAATCAATAGCCCTCTTGAGGAGTGTTTAATTGTCTGCTGACACAGCATCTCAACAACTCTCCTCATTTCTCTACATTACCTTTATGTAATAAACAACGGAACAGTGAATGGGAATACTATGCCTAAAATAGTTTAGGTGAACAGTTAATCTTGATGGCTGAAATAAATAGCTTGGCAGCAGGGTCTCTAAAACTGTGACAGGTGTAATTTACTTACCTCAGTAGTGATCTTCATGGCACGGCATTTTAAAATCTTTGGTCTCTGTTTTCTTGCTGCTCAGCTTGCTTCCAGTCCTTTTGCTCTGTAGCATTTGAGTGGAAGTATTCGACTGCATGACATGGAAGTCTATGGATGCTTCCCAGCAGAGCAGAAAGCAATGACTGGAAGTATAATGGACTGTGCAAGGTTGTTGGCAGATTACGTGCCATCAAGGTAGATGTAGTTTCCCCACTCCATGAAGTACTTCTGAAGTTTTTATCCAATTGTGTTCCTTTGTGTCTAAGAAAAATCCTACATTTGTTGTCGATCATCATTTTTAGGCTAGATTATTGGGGGGGGGGGTATACGTGTGTGTGTGTATGTGTGTGTGTATATATATGTGTGTGTGTGTGTGTGTGTGTGTCCTCTAGTGCCCCCCCCCCCTTTCCCCCATAGCAGTGACCTTTGGCCCCCTTCCTCCCCCCTAGCAATGTCTTCTGTCCCCCTTTCCCACAGCCTCCTCTGCTGCTGCTGGCATCCTCCGTGCACAGCGAAGAGCAGAAGACAACAGGGATCAGGATGGAGGGCGGCAGGATGAGCTAGACAAATTCACTTTTCATATTAACAAGCTGGTAGTTGGTTGCTAGAACCGACCTAGCAACCAATCTCCTGTGGGTTAATATGAAAAGTTAATTTGGTTAGCACCCCCCGCCCTCCATCCTGAGACCTGCTGTCTTCTGCTCTCCGCTGTGCACGGAGGATGCCAGCAGCAGCAGAGGAGGCTGTGGGAGAGGGACCTGTTCGCAGTCTACCTGTCACCTGCCCAGGTCGACAGGTAGACCACGATCAACGGGGTGCCGACCCCCACTCTAAAAAACATTTCTTGTGCCACACAAAGAGGTTATTTTGGGGCTCAATCCCAGTGTGATTTTAATCCTTTCATCGTAATCAGGACATAGTTCTGCCTGCCTCTCATTGCACACTCCTGGTGGATCTGACCCTTTATCAATCCGTCATGTGACCTCAAGAGTAAGGTGCCACATTTTCCCTATAAAAACCCATTCAACCAGATCAGTTGGTGGTTTTTGAGCTTTTCAGCATCAGGCTTCTGTTTATTTTTTTTGTGGGGTTTTTTTTTTGTTTTGTTTTTTAGTTTTGCAAGGGTTCCATAGTCTTCTGTTCACATGTTTAAGTTTTACCAGGTAGACTTTCAGGCCTCTGCTGATGGCCAGGTTTAGATGTACGTAAACATCAGGTGGCTTGTAGAGCCACCTGTGTCAACCTATTTTTTTTTCTTTTACTGTGTTAAAGCCCCCCCCCCCCCTTTCCCCCCTCAGTTGGACTGCTTTTGGATGTGTCTATGTTCCTGAGTACTGTCCATTAATATAGGATGTTTGTCTTAATCTGTAAAATCTTTTTTTTGGGAGTACATTCCAGAACACATCCCAAGACAACCTCCCCGGCTGTGTAACAACACCCTGTATGTCTTGCAGTTAGCTGCATCCAGTTGCAGTGAGCTAGTCTGGCAGCTATTTTATGTTTTTATTTCATTTTGTTAAGTTCTGCATATTCAGGTCATGGCAAGCTTGCACAAAATAGCACTTCTTTGCCATGCTGTAGCTTGGCCAGATTGTAACCACAAAACGTTGACTGAATGTCAAGTGTTGAGTTCACATGTGTTAACCCTCTTGCTTCCTGCTCCAGAATTTTATGCGGATTTAGCTTTGCCTTTATTTTAGGTAGCTGTATGATCAACCATTTTGGCAAGCTTTACAATGTGATAGTCATACGTCTGCAAACCAAAAAGTAGATTTTTTTTTTATTTATTTAAAATGTATCTGTATGTTTCTTGCTATTATCACTTGGCACCAAAGAACAACACAAAATAAATTCTCCCGCTCCTGACGATCACAGCAATACCACATACAGTGGATATAAAAAATTGTTAGGTTTCTGTGATGTAAAAAAAATGAAACAAATATGAATAATTTCAGAACCTATAAACTGTACAACTCAGTTGAAAAAAAAAAAAAAAAAAAACCTGACATCTTTTAGGTGGAGGGAATTAAAAATAAACTAAAAATAATATGGTTGCATAAGTGTGCACACCCTTAAACTAATACTTTGTTGAAGCACGTTTTCATTTTATTACAGCACTCAGTCTTTTTGGGTATGGGTCTATCAGCATGGCACATCTTGACTTGGCAATATTTACCCACTCTTCCTTGCAAAAACACTCCAAATCTGTCAGATTGCGAGGACATCTGTGCACAGCCCTCTTCAGATCAACCCATAGATTTTCGATTGGATTCAGGTCTGGGCTCTGGCTGAGCCATATCAAAACTATATTCTTCTGGTGAAGCCATTCCTTTGGATGTATGCTTTGGGTCATTGTCATGCTGAAAGATAACATTCCTCTTCATGTTCAGCTTTCTAGCAGAAGCTTGAAGGTTTTTTGCCAATATTGACTGGTATTTGGAACTGTTCATAATTACCTCTACCTTGACTAAGGCCCCAGTTCCGGCTGAAGAAAAAACGCTCCAAAGCATGATGCTGCCACCACCATGCTTCACTGTGGGTATGGTGTTCTTTTGGTGATGTGCAGTGTTGTTTTTGCTCCAAACATTAGAATTATGGCCAAAAAATTCAACCTTGGTTTCATCAGACCATAACACATTTTCCCACATGCTGTTGGGAGACTTCAGATGTGTTTTTGCTAAATTTTGCCGGCTTAGATGTTTTTATTCGTAATAAAAGGCTTCCATCATGCCACTCTACCCCATAGCCCAGACATATGAAGAATACGGGAGATTGTTGTCACATGTACCACACAGCCAGTACTTGCCAGATATTCCTGCAGCTCCTTTAAATGTAAGCATCTTGGCAGCCTCTCGATCCAGTTTTCTTTTCATCAATTTTGGAGGGATATCCAGCCCTTGGTAATGTCACTGTTGTGCCATATTTTCTCCACTTGATGATGACTGTCTTTGCTATGTTGCATGGTATATCTAATGCCTTGGAAATTCTTTTGTACCCTTCTCCTGACCGATACACTTTAACAATGAGATCCCACTGATGCCTTAGAAGTTCTCTGCAGACCATGGCTTTTGCTGTAGGATGTGACTAAGGAAATGTCAGGAAAGACCTACTAGAACAGATGATCTTTATTTGGGGTTAATCAGAGCCACTTTAAATGATGGCAGGTGTGTTCTGACTCCTATTTAACATGATTTTGAATGTGATTGCTTAATTCTGAACACAGCTACATCCCCAGTTGTGAGAGGGTGTGTACACTTTTTATATCCACTGTATGTGCATATTACTTATTTCATGTATACGTAGTAGGGTCCAGAAGCTGTAGTGTGCATTTTGTTCTTTTCTTCTTTCATATCTTTTTTTTTTTTTTTTTTTTTTTTTTCTTTTAAAATACTCCATGACCTATACAGTAACAGTAACCCTGACATTGCCCTAGATCAAACCTTGATCTAGCTATTTTTTAATGTAATTTTTTTTCACACACTTTTTTGTTTGATTTACCTTTTCTCTCTGTTCAGAAGAGGAAAAAAAAACACATGGGCGGGCTTCATGGTGACTGATCACTCATTATGATAGCCAATCAGAGGCTATAACAGCAATTAGGTGTTTAAAAACCAAGACGCCCTACATGGTTTGCCTCTCATTAGCACATTCTCAGGGGTATGGTTTTCAAGATCCATGCATACTGGCTGCTTAAAAATCGCTCCCTCTTTCCAGAGTTTTGTGTTTTGCCTGTAGAAGCAGCTCAGTGTTACCCTATGTGTCCATGCACATTAGGACGTTTAGAAGCACATTTTAAGCTCCGTGGTTAGAGGCAAAAAAAAAAAAAAAACATTCTGGTTTGCGATTTTGATTGGAATTTTGTGATCGAAAACACTAAACGCCTAAATGCACCTAACAGTGTACAGAAATGCTCTATATATGAGCGTTTTTTTTTTGTTGTTTTGGTTTTTTTTTAAGCCTAGTGTTTTACTCTTGAGTGGCAGTGATTAACTGATTAAGCGATGATTGAAAAATTTCTGCAACTTGCCTTTACCTGTGTATTTGGTGCAGCTACAGTATATAATAGAAAAAAATTAAGTTGTTTTCAATAATTGTATAAATTAATATCTTGCTACTAAAATATTTTATATATGGTCTAGAACAGTGATCTCCAAACTGTGGCGCCTTGCTTGTTTGTGGTCAGCCCTATCCCTCTCCCTGACACCAGCGATGGGGCACTATTCCTTCCCAAAGATGAGACATTGTGTGCTCTTACTTTACCACTGATGTCAGGAAATTTTTTACTCCCACTGGCCACAGTCCAGCCCTGGTAAAGTCTGAAGCACAGTAAACTGGCTCTTTAGAAGGTTTGGAGACCCCGCATCTAGAACATACACAGAATGTACTTTTTTTTTTTTTTTTTTTGAAGCTTGTTCGATCTTGTAATGACCTTGCCCCTAATCTATTTTGTTCTTGTTCTTTTAGTTCCATGCTTCCAGTGCCTCCTACTGTAGGACCAGCCTTTAGCTTTGAGTTGGATGTAGAAGATGGGGAAGTGGAAAACTATGAGGTTGGTGTATGTATTCACAAACACGCTCTTTACTTGTTATTGTGGTTATTAGCCAGCCGCAGAAATGTACCATTTACTCCCCCTTTAGAGCTCCTTTACACTATCTTTGGAGGCTGACTTTTTAACACATTGGATGAACGCCAATTACCGCAAAGATACATAGCATACTTTTGTTTTTTATGGGCCCTGTTCTGACTTCAATGCGAGTATGATGTGTGTGCAGCAAAATGCAGTATTTTTCAACAGCATGTTGGATGGTACAGCAGTGCAGCACAGTGCACCACACTGCTGTGCAAAGACCTCAATAGAATATACACTTCCTATAAAGTAAAAATAAAAAGCTGTAAACGATGCTATGCACCTGCCAATGTGACAGGAGCCCACACACTTAAACAGAATATTTAACGTGTGGCAAGTGTAAGGGGCCCTTAAAGGATAAGTTCACCTCACAAGCTGTAAGAGTAGTTCTTTGTACAAGCTGTCCGTTTTTAAAAACAGAGCTTTGTGGATGTCGGCTTGTAGTTCTTAATGAACTTCCATGGTGCTATGAAGCACTCTGGTAGTTTGATTCTTCCTGTCAGTGTATCTGCTTGCCCATAAAGTTGAGCAGATATGCGGACAGGTCTGAGGAAACCTTCATGGCACCAGTGGTCTTCTGATCACTGGTGCAATGCTTTTCAGGCTCCTGCAACAAAAAATAATAAATGAAAATTATTTTTTTTTACCTGTAATAAAAAATGTGCATTTATTATTTTTTGTCAAAAGGTGAACTTTTCCTTTAATCTTTTAGTCCCCGTAATTGTAAATACATTGATTCATATTCCTTTCTAACTGTCTTAACTTTTTTCATTGTAGGCATTGCTAAATCTAGCTGAAAGACTAGGTGAAGCAAAACCACGGGGATTAACGAAAGCGGATATTGAGCAACTTCCATCATACAGGTTTAACCCAAACAATCACCAGTCAGAGCAGACCTTGTAAGTTTAATGGTTCAAATTGGAGGGTTTTTTTGGGGGGGTTTTTTACCCTTGTTTTTCATAAGATCCCCTTATGAAAAACACTGGCATGGAGAAATGAGTTCATTAACAGCAGCCTGCTTCTATTTTACCTACAGCTGAAAAGTACATGTACGCTTGAGAACATAAATGAAATATTTCAACAAGGTTTTTTTTTTTTCCAGGCTGTTTTTTGTTTTTCAGTTCTGGCCTAGGTTAACATTGCTCACTCACCATATTGTATCTATAGAGGGGCAGTGTTTTCCCCAGAGGATAGAAAGTGGTATGATTGCAGAATACCTTTCATTCATCTCTAGAACACTGTGGGAGTTCTAAACAAGAGAGATCTGGGGACAATGCTGATAGGAGTTTAGAACAGGAAGTTTGCAGGATAAACCGCTATTTTTGCACATATTCCACAGATATAATAACTTTTGTATGGATATAAAAAAAAAAAAAAAAAAAAACATAAATAAGAGTCATTGATGGGGGTTACAGACACTATAAAGCAGAATTAATCTCAAAGAAATACCTCCCCATTCCAGTGATGAGTAAATCCCTCACCGGCTCAGTCACCTCACTTTGTCTTCTCCCCAGCTACTTCAGGGTGCTGGGTTTTTGGCGGCTTGATTGGCTTGACACAGAATGATGTCAACCCATGCATGCACAGGGGAGACCGTCATTCTAACACAGCCAGTTCAGTCAATAGAAGACTGCGAGTAGTCAGGTATGTGTTTATTTTTTGCAAAAGAGACATTGCTTGATACCTCTGCAATAAAGGGCTTCCTGCTCAGTTACATTTTGTTCTGCTTTAAGGGGTAAGAGTGGTGTCCATGTTTAGTTAAAATAGACATCCCCTTTAAGGGTAGAAGTTACTTGTATAGCTATGTTCTTAAAATTTGTTAAACTGAGGTGAAATATGTATATTTGATATGCAAGACTGGCTTTATTTGTAAGTTTTGCTAAAAGCTAGTTGATATTGCTTGTCTAAGTAGAAATCTGAAGTGAATGTAAATATGTGCTGTATATATCAGCATATTGCTTGTTGAATAGTCATGACATAATATTGCAGCCATAGCTATTGTAGCAATGCTAAGGCTGAATAGATTAGACAGAGCAGTGTTCTCTTTAGTAATTTTAACCTGGAAGTAGATGGATGACCAAGTTGAGGGAAAAAAGGAGCAGTGTAAAATTGCAGTTATATAGAAAAATTGCGAATCTCCTAATGTCTATTTAGTGCACAGGTTTAAGCAAGATGGCAGTTGGAGTCCATGGTTGCAGACCAGTTTGTTCACACCATGGCTTTTTGTATGGCAACACTGCTGCTGCAGATCCACTGAGACAGGAAGTAGAACTATCAACCTGGGAGAAATGTTTTATAGGGGGATATGTGACCCACAAAGTATGTGGCGTGAATGTAGATGTGGTTTAGGTTACATTTGATTATTTTTTAGTAAGGGGTTCTGTGCTCCACGCAGCTTGAAGTTGAACTCCCAGAGCTGTCCTTTATGTTCCATAATATACCAGTGTACTGTACCTAATGCAGTCACTTTTAAATTGATGCAGATGCACAACCTTTTCACCAGTGCCCCTGCCCCCTGTTCAGTTCTTTTTAAACAGTGCTCCCCTAACCTTGCTTATGACAAGAAAACCACCTGCTTTCTGTCAGTCTTGCAGGCACTTGTCAAGATCCAGCACCTCTAGCCAGTCATGAAAATTTACTGATGACTGGTTGAAAGCTCTACAGATATTATGTTTGCAGGGTAAGCTGCCTTGATTAGATTTGGTAATTACAGCTGCAGCAGCTGGCACCAGAGGAAAAATTTTAACTCAGGAGTTGTCAGGTCTGTAGAAGCCTGGTAGACACTGAAAATGGTACCCCTTCTAAAATAGTACTAGGGAGAACACGGGAGAAAGTTTGATGTCCTTCTCCCAAGATACACCTAGAAGGCTCAACACCAATAACTGCTGGGGATATAATTCTTTTATCTGTATCTTCAAAGTGTAAGCTTTTGAGTTCCATCATGGCTGTGTTCTAGGGCCACCTATGGAAATATACTTTGCTTTCTTTTAGACGTTTAGGGTGTTTTTAATATGTACAGTTTCACTGGATTAAGTATCATTTTGTTCTTTTAGTGTGTATTCTAAACCAGTAGATGTTTTAGCCTAACCTAGAACTCTTTTCTTTCTTAGATGTGTAGTGTGCATGTGTGATTTTGAGTCAAGACAGCTTCTAAGAGTCTTACCATGTAATCATGAATTTCATGCCAAGTGTGTTGACAAGTGGCTAAAGGTGAGCATCATTTTTATTCACAAATCTGTACATCGAATACTTTCAGTTTGGTACTTCTGGCTGGCCAGTTATACTCAAGGATGACTTATGAAGGTTTACCTGCTGCATTATTCAGTTGAATTACTGATAGTGAAGTCAGTTTCTAAAAAATATATTTTCCTTTTAATCAGTAATCACAGTATATCTTTAGCTCTGAAAACTTACTTTCCTTAATCTCCTTTGCTTTTTTAAGTAATCAAGTTACTAGTATGTAGGTAATCAAGTTACTATTTAACCATGTGTCCTCCTGAGGTTTTACCCCCCTTCCTGACCAGGCCATTTTTTTGCATTATGGCACTGCGTTACTTTAACTGACAATTGTGCGGTCATTCAACACTGCACCCAAATGAAATTTACGTCCTGTTTTTTTCACACGACTTGAGCTCTCTTTCGGTGGTATTTGATTGCCTGTGCATTTTTGATTTTTGATTTTTTGCTAATAAACATGTCCAGTAAAAAAAAAAAAAAAAATCAAATTGTCATAAATTTAGGCCAAAATGTATTCTGCTACATGTCTTTTCTAAATAAAAAATTCCAATACGTCTAAATTAATTGGTTTAAGAGAAAGTTATAGGGTCTACAAAAGGCAATGTGTATATATATTGGAATTTTTTATTTTTTTTACTAGTAATGGTGGCGATTAGCGACTTGTAGTGGGACTATGGGACTGCGGCGGGCGTTCTGATACTGGGGAGAACTGACTTGGTGTCACTGACATCCCCAGTGACACCAATGCAGTTACCAGTGCTAAAAAAAAATACTGACGTACTAATGGCACTGGGCAGGACGGGGTTAAAATGAGGGGCGATCAAAAGGTTAACTGTGTGCTGGGTGTGTTTTACTATGGGGCAGTGTCTGTGTGCTTCACTGTAAGAACACTGCTTTGTATGGCTGTGCTGTGCACAGCCATGGAAAGCTGTGTGCAGGAGCTGACAGGGAGGAGAACTGTTTAGTTTACAAACCGTTCTCTCTGTCGGAGAGCCTCGGCAGTCACCGGGTGCCGGTGAGTAATCACCGATCTGGTGATTTACAGCTGCAAAATCATTTGTATATATACGTGATTTTGCACACCTATACCACCCTGTAGCAGTATTTCTGCTGTAGGGCAGATGGGAAGCGGTTAAACAGGAACTGTAATGGCTTTTTGTGGTTTGGTTGTTTTTTTTTTATTTTGGATCCTTTTTGTAAATGTTTACACGTTTCATAAACTGATCTTTTAGATAATTGGTTTTTCTTTTCTGTTTTTGTTTTTCTTGTTTATCTATAAAATCTTTATTTTGCAAACAGAATTTTAATAAAAAAAATTCCATGACATTTTTGTTCCCAGAACATTCTGGGTTTTTATTATGAAAGCCTAGTTTTGTCTGCTCACTTGGCTTCTGTATCTGATTAGGAGAAAGAAGGTGTGTCCCAACTCAGTTGTGTATGTGTATTTTGTTGAGGCTGTTCACTTCTTATACGTAAAGCTGGTCATACATAAAATTTTGATCCAGGTGTGGCCATTCCTGTTCATGAAAAGTCAATCTATCAACTGACTTTTCATAAATGTGTTTGTTGGTGTATTTTCACTTGATCAGTGCATGCAGCCAAAAGGCTGCAGCATTGATCAGTTAGATCTAGGAGAACAGAAAGAACTTCATTACTTTTTTTTTTTTTTTTCTCCCTGATCTAAAAATGATATATTCTGGAATTAGTAAAATTTTGCTTCTTGTAGTAATTTAACACATACAGGATATGGATTGTAGAGTTGAAAGCTAGTTATTCATCCATTCTACAATGTTTGGGTTTGTTCTTTTGAATTCCACATAGGCTTGCATCCCTTAACTAAATGTTTCTTGTCCTGCTTTTGTCCTCTAGGCAAATCGTACCTGCCCAATATGTCGAGCTGATGCTTCAGAAGTACATCGCGATTCAGAATGACCAATGTCAGAGCACAATTCCAGCTCGGGTGTTCCTAGTCACAGAAAAAAAAACTATCCATTGAACTTAACCCGTGTGGCTTCCAGCCTATTCTTTACACAAAAGGGTCAATGGACCTCTTTTTGCACTGTGTGATTTAATCAATTATAAAGCTTCTAATTAGTCTTCACAATTATGGGATTGTTATACTAACCGTGTGATTGGGACTCCAAAGATTATTATTTTTTATATTCTGTAGCTTATTTTGTGTGTGCACTAACATTCCCTGGTTTTCGTGTGATCATTCCGAGTGTTTTTTTTTTGCTGCAAGATTACCGTCGATGTGATCTTTTAGCATGTGCTTTTATATTTAAACGAAGATTTAAAAAAAAAAAAAAAAAAAAGAAAAACAAGATACAGTGGTAGCTCCAAACAGTTTAGCAATCTACCTTGTTATAGAGCCTTCAGATACTGTGAGAGCAGGTGAGTGAAATGTGTGTATGTGTGTTGGTGACAATGCTTTGCGTGGTTACTTGTGTCGAGCACAAGAGCGTGACTATGTGTGATTGAGATCCTATATACCAGCATGTACTAAGAATGAATGTGTGTAGTATTACCTATGCTGCAATGTATAATCTTGTGTGTTATTTAAACAGTACTAGTACTGTACACTGGTTTCTTTTCTTGTGTTTGCAGTTGCACACTGAATGCTAAGGGTGTAGCAATCTATAGGCATTTCATTACCCTTCCTTCTATATTTTGTTATCCACATATTATTTACCACTGACTATTCTATGTTGTGCTTATCTGTGCCACTGCTGGGGAAGGGGAAAAAGTGCATTTGCAGAGAGACAAGTAAAATTAACATTGCAAAAATGTGTTTCCATTCAAATAATTTCCATATTCCTCTTGTGCATGCAAAGTGTGTTGTATATGAACTTCTGAGAGAACAAAGAGCTTCTAGACATCATAGTAACTACATGGGTTTGTTCAAACTGGCCCTTTAATGATTTCCAGGACTGTATTCTAGTTCTTCTTATAGGATAGCAGGTGAAGCTATTAGGCTTCTTTACTGGTCACTGAATGGTAGAATTGTGATATACCTAGAGGTTTGGAAAGCAGGACCTCACTGTGGTCAAGATCAATCCAGAGTTGCAAAGGAAACCATTATTTGGTACATGCTACGATGTTCTTGTTATAAAAGTACAGAATGTCTTCTTCCTTGCTAAGTTGTAACAGCTTGTTATGGTAATGAATGAGGATTACTGTCCCAAGTTGCACAGCATGGAAGAAAGAAGAAACTTTCAAAAACATTGCATGTACAGCGATTGCCATTCATTTCGGTTCTGAGATTATGCTACTTAGCAGGGATAGATGCTCTGTGCTTTTATGCTAAGAAAAGTACAGCATGCATTTAGAGACATTACACGTTGTCCTAAAGGGTCCATTCCATGCAATTCAGTTTTTTTTTTTTTTATCTTAAAGTAATAGTTTTATCACACTGCGACTTCTCAAAATGTATTAAAATGGATATCCCATTACAATTCTAGTGTGGAGAAATCAACTCAGAGTCCACAAAAGATAGAAGAAGCTAGTGGATGATTAATCTGCCTAATGTTGAAATATTTGTTTTGGGTGCGGTTTTCCTTTTTTAAACCGTTAATGAATTTGAGTTTTGGAATACAGTTACTCTAAAGCTGGTTATTCTTGTATAGATTTCCTCAGCCACCATTCTTCCACCTTCTCTAAACTGGGTAGATGAACAAATCTCCCCTGCTGGCTGTTGTATTCTGACAGTTGGCATCTGTGATTGACAATTTTCTGCCCAGCTCCTTTGATTTTTTTCAGATCCAAGTTTGTGAAGCTGGGTGGTACCAGTTGAGCCACCCACTTATCAAATTTTGGCTGAGCGAGAAATTAATGAAATTTGGTCCACATATGGCCAGCATAAAACTGGCAACTAGTGTTACAATAAGATTGTAAAATCTCCTTGTCGCCATTGGGTAACTTTTAAATCTAAGCTAACCCCAGCCTGTTAAAAATAATACATTTCTGGCAGCCCATGTCCTCAAATGCTGCCTTTTTGCTGCAGCCTGACTGCTGCAGTTATTTAACAATTCCTGCTATGTAGAATACCTGCCCCCACTGGCTTATTTGCCCCCCCCCCCCCCCCCCCCAAAAAAAACCATGGTATTAATTATGCATATCTGAAATCATAACTCTGGCCTACTTCTTTTTGCATATCCCATCTCACTAATGCCAGTTTAGCCATACATCACATTAAAGGGTAGGCCGGAGCTCCAGTATCGGAGGTGTATGTTGATATTTGCTAACTTAGGTGTTTATTTACTAAATAAGTAAAGAGAGTGCAAAATCAGGCTCACTTCTGCATAAAAACCAACCCGCTTCCAGGTTTTATTGGCAAAGCTTAATTGAACAAGCTGAGGTTAGAATCTGATTGGTTTCTGTACAGAAGTGAGCCCAATTTTCGCTCTCCAGCTTTAGTATATAAAACCCCAGTGTGCCCTGGTATTCGGGGCTCTGGAAAGCAGCTATAGGTACATTCAGGCATCTATAGGTGCTTTCTATTTCTGCTGCCGGTTTATACAAACGTTTTTACTAACATTTTGCTATAACTTGACAAAACTGTTTTTAATATGTGACTGCTGAAGTAGAATACAAAAAAGGCCAAACTGATCACTTCAGCACTGATTCTTGTGCATTTGTATAGCTACTTTTTAGGTGCACAGGACACAAAACCTGAGGCGCTTTCCAAAGAGTGATAACCATGACAAGTAAGGTAAACTCAGTAAATGGAAAGTCAAGCATGAATGTTGTGTCATCAGTTTCCACCTACACGTAACCTGCCACTGTAATGTTTCTCATTATCCTTCTGTTTATGAAAGTTGTCAGAAATCTTTCTTGGAGGTTCAGAAGACCTGTGTGGTTTGATCAGTCAGTCGGAGGCACGTTTATTAGGATTTCAGTTATGACTAAGCTATTCTTTTTGAAGTGAATGCAATGGGTTTATTTTAAAGCCTAACTCCAGGTCTCTTGTGACTTAAAATAGTTTTTTTGGATCAAGCTGAGCTTCCTCTGAGTGAGGTGAAAAATCAGTGACATCTGCCCCCCCCCCCCCCCCTCCACCTCAGCCAATCAGAGGAAGCCTTGTATACATTTATTAAATGCAAGGCTTCCTGTGAATGGATGAGCAGCACTCAGCCTGATTCAGTTTTGTTCTGGTAGCAGGATGGGAAGACCCCATACCCCAGTCAGAATACAGACCTGTATACTGTATGTAGCCTATGCTACATACAGTTTATACAGCGCTCCCAGTGGGCACATCTGTTAGTGAAGCAAACAGTTTGGACCAGCTTGGTCCAGTTGAATTATTTAAAGTCCCAAGAAACCTGGAATGAGGCTGTATCCTAGTGCAACAAGCATTAATTTAGAGTAACACAGTATCAGTCAGATGTATTGTAAGTATATAGACTGTTAAAAGCTGTCCATTGTTTCTTTGGCTCCTGCGATTTTCTGTATGTCATTGATTTTTGTTCTTTTAGCTTATTAGATGCTTGTGTACATTAGGAGCTCCTGTTCTGGAGAAAAAAAGCAATATATAACTAGAATTTGGGAGTTGGCAAAAAATTTGTCAGGCCTGGCTCAAAGTGCTGAATTGTATTGATTCAGTTACTTTTGAAATGGGTGACAATATGAGCCTACAAAATGACAAACCTCCAGTGTTTGTGAGAGATTAGTGGTTTCAAAGTTCATTGGCAAGTCTTGATTGTGTGTATTAGGATTACTAACTTGTAGTGTTCATTTTGCATGCACACTAGAAATATATGTTAGATTTTTAAATGCACTTTTTTTTCTTTATCCCCAGCAATGCTACCTTTTCTTTGGGTAGTGTTTTGTGTTTTGTATTTGTTTTTGGGTTTTCTTTTTTCCTCACCTTTCTTTGGTTGTGTGCAATAGCACAAGCAGCACATTGATAATGTACTTTGCTGCCAAGTCCAGCTTTAAATTAGTAGTGTGTGTCATTTGTGATGCATGTCTGTCCCTGTGCTTGTCACAGTTCTGTGTCTGACAGTGTTATTCTGTTACTCCATGCTGCTTGCCCTTTCTCCGAGCTTGTGGTTCAGTGGACTAAAACAAAAGCACAATTTGCCTATGGTTTTTTTACACACTGTTGCCTCAATCGCCCAAAAGTGAATTCAGAACAGCTTGGTTTTTTAATCTCTGTAAACTCAGAACCTGCAAACACCATATTTTCTTGAAACCAAATGGACAAAAGTTGCTTTTGGTATCATTTTAAATCAAAATTTGCTTAATACTAACCAGCCACTGGATGTCGTCACCTATTTTTAATAAACAAAAACCATGTAATTGCAGAAATTGTATATCAGACTCCTCTTATAGTGCTACAAATACTTTTTATATACTGCAGAAAATGTTTTTACTTGTATAGACTTAATAACACTACTACACTCAATATTCACTTTATTAAAGCATGCAAGCATTGCACTTTTTCTAGCTTAGACTGAGCGAAATGCAAAAAAGAGAGATGAAAATTAAAGTCTAGGGTACACACCTGTATTTTTTTTTTTTTTTTTTTTTTTTTAATTTTTTTTATTTCCCCACTTTTCAAACACAATGCAATTTTTGTTTTATGGACTACAAGTAGACTTGTTCAGTTTTCAAGCTGAACTCTGGAGGCTGGTACTTCTGGATTTCTTCTTTTTTTTTTTTTTTTTTTTTTTTTTTCCTTCTTGCATGAATCTCTTGCAGACATATGCTGACCTGCTTCCTGTGGTTAATGTTCAAAATCTATAAAAAGCACACATGCATGTGTTCTGAACCAGCTCGGACCAGCATGTGTTCTGAACCAGCTCGGACCAACTACAAACTTTTTTTTTTTTTTTTTTTTTAATGTCCCTCTCACTTTTGAGGCCAACATTTGAAAAGAGCCAGAGGATGTCTTTCAGCTGTTACTGCCATATGTTCTATTTCTGATGCCT